GCAACTAACAACAATAACTAATATGCCATTGTTTAGACAGAAAATTAGCATGGATGGAAAAGGAGCCAGACTGTCCCTTCCTGCAGGCTTACAGTCTGAATGTCAAGGCACAGAAGGAAAGATGATCCCCTACAAAAAACATAATCTTTGAGATACCCGTTATTTCAAGTCTGTTGGGTTCCCCCCCCCCTTTTTATGTGTAGGTCTTCAGATGCCCACAGCGTTGCTTGTTGCTCTTCTAAAAATAAACAGTCTTTCTCTTCTTTTCCCTGGTATAACTAGAGTCCTTCCCTACTGCTTTTTGTGTAGGGCTTTTCTGCCTTTCATTTTCTGCCTTCATAAATGTGCCAAAATTGTTTTGGAAGAAAGCCTCGTCCAGAGCTCGGCTGCAACTGCCCTGATAGATAGGCTGGCATTCCTATGTCTCACCTTTTATGCACAGATGCTCCGAGGCTGGGAGAGAGTGGCTCAGACCTGCTGGATTTAATAATTATAATAATGTATTACATTTACTAATAAAGGAGAATATTTGTAGCTCAGAGATGACAGGAGGGGGTCCTTAGTGCTCTCTGAGCTTGCTTGTTTTCTTACAGATGTTTTGTTAACCAAACTTGGTAACATCATCACTGCTTCCCCTAACACTGATGATGTTGCCTAGTTTGGGTAATGAAACATCTGCAAGAAAACAAGCAAGCTCAGAGAGCACCAAGGACCCTTCATGTATTACATTTATATGCTGCCTGATTCCCAATGGCTCTGGGCGCTTTAAAATTGTTAAAATATTTAAAAACAGAGCAGAATAACAATTGGAAGGGACTTGGAGGTCTTCTAGTCCAATCCCCTGCTCAGGTAGGAAACCCTATACAATTTCAGACAAATGGTTGTCCAGTCTCTTCTTTAAAAGTTCCAGTGTTGGAGCATTCACAACTCCTGGAGGCAGGTTGTTCCACTGATTAATTGTTCCAAGTATCAGGAAATTCCTCCTTAGTTCCAGGTTCCTTCTCTCCTTGATTAGTTTCCATCTGCTTCTTGTCCTGCCTTCAGATGCTTTGGAGAATATCTTGACTCCCATTTCTTTGGGGCAACCCAAGATATTGGAACAGGGCTATCATGTCACCCCTGGTCCTTCTCTTCATTAGACTAGACATACCCAATTCCAGCAACCGTTCTGTATACGTTTTAGCCTCCGGTCCCCTAATCATCTTTGTTGAACGATTAAAAAAAAACAACAACACTAGACAAAAGAAGAGTGATGACAAAGAAAACCCAGAGAGGAACAGAAAGGAAGAAACGGGCATTATTCATCCTCTTCAGAGGTCTGGATGAAGAACCAGGTCTTTAAGGCCCTTTGAAATACCAGCAGGATGGGAAGCGTTTGAATCTCCGTTGTATGCGAGAGGAATCAAATTCCAAAGCTTTGTGGCGGGGATTCGAACTGGCACCTTTCAGCTCTCTCCATATACTTGGAAGAACAATCCTAACGTCCTTTGTGGGGTTTTCTTTAAAGGAGATATACATTGGTGCGATGCCCCATCTGTACCTGGCGGAGGTAGGTTTTCATCCCGCTTTCTCGGTGATAAGTAGCCGATTGATAGGGAAAAAAAAAACCCCAACTTTCTCCCATCCAGGAAAAACACGCCCAACAATTGACGACTCAGAGAAACGTCTTCTCCATTTGCCAAACCATTCCTTCTTCCGCGCCCAAGCGTCACATTTGCGGCGCAGTTAACTTCCGCGAATTTCCACAGCTCCTCGGCGGGGACGTTTGGAGCGAGAGGGGCGCAAAGAGAGCTGCTTCGCGCCGAGGAGCGCGATGGGGCTGCTTCAGTGGCGCCTCTGGCTGGTAGGAGCAACTACTTTCCTGCTGGGAAACGCTTCTGGTGAGTAACTACCGGTACTTAACCGCGGAGGCACGGAATCCCGTCTAAGGGTCCCGTACAACGCGAGCCAGGGATCCTCTCCCCCCCCCCCCCTTACAACGCTTGAGCTGATTTTGGAAGCGTTCCTTGATAGGGACCGCTTCCTTTGCTTCTGCAATCCGGATCTTGCAAAAGCCACGAGCCTCCTTGGGAAGGAAAAGGAGAACTATCCTTCTTTCCTGTAAACATCCCAGCCTTATGTATGTGGGTTCTTATTGTGTAATCACACTGACTTGTTTTTCTAATATTAGGAAGAGTCCAGGCAATTGTATCCTCTTGGAAACTCTTTTCCTCTTTCTCCTTCCACCCTATGGAATGAGCTACCCCCAGAGATCAGGGTGATCCCTGATCTCCCTTCCTTCCGCCGCGCCCTTAAGACATGGCTGTTTCAGCTAGCCCGACTGGCCTAGGGGAAATTTTTAGCTGGGTTTTAAATTATTTTAAATTATTATAGGCCAATATTAATATCTCTTTTTAATTATGTTTTTAACTATAGTTACTTTGGTATTTTTGTATCTGTTTTATTAGGCTGTTAGCCGCCCTGAGTCCGCAAGGAGAAGGGCGGGATATAAATACAATAAACTCAAACTCAAACTTCTCCTACCAAAGCAAATAGACAGGAAATGGGCAACTTTTCAGGGTCAAGGGCACCCTTAATTGGAATGAGAGGGATGTTAAGGTTTTACACAGTGAGTGAGACACAATTGCACTTGCTGGAGGAACTGAGCTGTTTAGGAAATTCTGGAACATTCATTTGCCTGTTTTTTCCCCTTTAATTTGCATGCCTATTTAGGATTTACAGGATAGTTTTTGTTCAGGTCGCATCTCACAGTATTGGAAAGGAAGCTGCCAGCCTTCCAATGAGTAGTTGCTCTGAGGGCTATAAAAAGACTTGGGGACAGCAAGTTGCACTTTTCTGCAATTGTAGAACTTCCAGAGAGTTTATTTGCTTCTTTTAAAACATTTCCATATCTGTCTATCTTTCAGTGAACTATTCCTTATTTAGATTCCACCTTGATGCTCCTCCATTGATCATCTTCATGCTTTTCCCTTACTTTCTGCTGCTCTGGAATGACAGAGTGCCTTCTTGCAAATAATCGTTCTCCCAAACTGCTGATGTTAATATTCTTTAATATTAGTAAGTTAATATTGAGATCCAGTTTGGTCTAGTCTAGTGGTTACAGCTTCAGGCTAGAAACCATGAGACCTGCCTCCAGAAGCGGTGAATGCTCCAACACTGGAAGTTTTTAAGAAGAGACTGGACAGCCATTTGTCTGAAATGGTATAGGGTTTCCTCCCTGAGCAGGGGGTTGGACTAGATGACCTCCAAGGTCCCTTCCAACTTTATAATTATTATTACTATAACCATTCCCTCCTTTGGCGTGAAAACTGTGTGACTCTTTCTCAGCCCAAACCAATTCACAGGCTTGTTCTGAGAAAACTAGGAGGAGGAAGGAATATTAGTCATGTTTGCCGCCTTCATTTAGTTGTAAAAAAATAAAGCGGGAATATAAATAAAATTATTTCACATGCTGCTTTTTTTTTTTTGGCTTGACTTGAAGGCAACATTTCTCTGGAAAAACGTAACTTAGCAAACATAATTTTCCAGTGAATCATTTTCTACTGGAGACGTTGGAACAAAGTCAAGCAATATATCAAGCAATTCCTGCTCCATACAACAACTCTGAACTGTAGCTTGTTCATATTTGTGTCTGTGTGTGGTTTTCTTTTTTCTTTTTTATCAAGAAGTAGGAGACTGAAGATATTTGGCCCTCTGTTTTTTCCCCCTTTATTTTATATTAGCAAAAGTTCCATTGTTTAACACAGTGTTGGGAAGCAGAGAAGACGACATTTGATGTGAGTCTGCCATGATTGGTGGAGGGGAGGCTCATTTCCAAGGCCCTATGAAACTTTTTCCTTCCACCTTGCAATGAACTTGTTTTTTATCTTCTAAGTAGAAGCTGAGTTACATCCTCCCAAGAGAGAAGTGTACTTTTCCATCCTGGTACAATCAGAGACTTGAAGGATTGGCAGGATGCAATGGAAGGGAGGCAGAGGAAGCATCAGAAATGTCTTAACTCCACCAAAAGCTAGTTTGGCCTAGACTAGTGGTTAAGGCAGCAGGCTAGAAAGCAGAAGACCGTGAGTTGAAGTCTGACCATAGCTTAGCCATAAAAGTCAGCTGGGTGACTTTGGGCCAGCCACTCTCTCTCAGCCAACTCACCTCACAGGGGTGTTGTTATGGGGGAAAATAGGAGGAAGAATGTGTGTGGGTTTGTTTGCTGCCTTGAGTTACTTGTAAAAAGAATAAAAATAGGATATAGGTAAATAAAATAAACAAAAAGTTTCTTTGAACTGGAATAAGGGAAGTTGCTCCCCCTCTCCCCATGCACTATCTCCATCTACAACTATATTGGAGAATGATATCATATATGGACAGAGGGGCATCCCCTTCTTCACCTCACCAGTCTAGGGGAACATCATTACCTCAACAATGAAATCTTAACTAGATTGTATTTCAGTGCCTAAACCAAACTTGTTGTTGTGTCCCCCACCTCCACCCCATGCCATGTATTTGAATTCTGCAAAATCTCCGCTGAGCTGGAGTTTGTGTAAGGCAGGAAGGTGGAATAGAAAGGGAAAAAATGCCATTGGATTGCATTTTGATTTGGGAAGAAAGATTGCAGCCATGGCTGATTTCAGGTGGATTTGAAAGAACCAGAAAAATACTGCCAGCTGGATCTTATTTATGATTGCTTCATTGAATTGGGCAAGCAGAGAGAGAGAAAAAGCCTGCCTTGCTGTACCTTTGAGGTGAATTTAGACTTCTGGCCAAACTTCAACATTATTTCTAATTGTTCTAACTGATTTTGTCTTTTAACTTCCTGAGACTAAATGCAAAGAACATGAAGCTTTTTTGCAGGGGACAGTGGTAGACTTTATCTTTCCTGCCCCTTTCAACCCTAAATTGTTGGCATTGAACTATAACTAAGTTCATATCATTGGAAAAGATAATGGAATTTTCTGATTGCACAAAATGAGAGGAATTAATTCAAAATTGCCAGCAACCGTTCTTTATATGTTTTAGCCTCCAGTCCCCTAATCATCTTGGTTGCTCTTCTCTGTACTCTTTCTAGAGTCTCAACATCTTTTTTACATTGTGGCAACCAAAACTGGATGCAGTATTCCAAGTGTGGCCTTACCAAGTTATTATAAAGCGGTATTAACACTTCATGTCATCTTGATTCTATCCCTCTGTTAATGCAGCCTAGAACTGTGTTGGGTTTTTTGGCAGCTGCAGCACACTGCTGGCTCATATTTAGGTGATTGTCCACTAGGACTCCGAGATCCCTGTCACAGTTACTACTACTGAGCAAGGTACCACCTATACTATACCTGTGCATTTGATTTTTCTTCCCTAAATGTAGAATCTTACTTTTTTCACTATTGAATTTCATTTTGTTAGATAGCGCCCAATGTTCAAGTCTGTCAACATCCCTCTGTATCTTAAGCCTCTCTTCTGGAGTGTTGGCTATTCCTGACAGCTTGGTGTCATCTGCAAATTTGATGATTTCCCAGCTATCCCCTCATCCAAATCATTGATAAAGATTTTGAAGAGTACTGGGCCTAAAACAGAGCCTTGTGGTACCCCACTGAATACTTCCCTCTATGTCAGACATGTCAAACACAAGGCCCGGGGGCCGGATGCGGCCTGCGAAGTGGTTTCATGTGGCCCACAAAACCATCCTGGAAACAGTGAGGGAACGGCCCCTGCTGCCTTGGTCCTGGCCCAGGCCGGCCAGGAGCCAATGTACAATTTTGTGGTGGCCATCTATGCTGAAACACATTCAGTCTTAGCTCCACAAGGCCATCTGGAAACAGTGAGGAACCAGCCCCTGCTGCATTGGCCCCACCCCCTGAGTGCATGCTGGGGAGGTGTCACCCTTTGTGAGCAATGAAGAAATACACCATCGCCTGGAAGTGGCCAGCAAATGGCCCTCGCCTACTTCACATGGGCTTGATGGGCTCTGGAGGAGGGGTTTCGGCAGGCAGCGGGGCGCTCTCCTCACAGCACCGAGAGGCTGAGCTGGGCGGCACAAATCTCAAAAGAAACATGAGGCCGCCCAGCTCCCAGCCTGCCTGGTTTCAGCAGGCAGTGGGGCACTCTCCTCACAGCACCAAGAGCTAAGCCGAGTGGCGCAAATCTGATGAGAAGTGCAATGCTGCTTAGCCCCCAGCTGCCCAGTTTCAGCAGGTAGCAAGGTGCAAAGCTGGCAAGCTTCGCACCACTTGGCTCAACCTCTCGGCACTGTGAGGAGAGTGCCCCGCTGCCTGCCGAAAGTGGGCAGGCTGGGGGCTGGGTGCCATCGCACTTCTTTTTGGATTTGTGCCACCTGGTTCAGCCTCTTGGTGCTATGAGGAAAGCACCCCGCTGCCTGTCGAAACCAGGCAGGCTAGGGGCTGGGCGGCATTGCGCAGGTAACGTTGACTCTCACGCTGCTCATGGCATCCCCTCCTCCAGAGCCCACCAAGCCAGATATGTGAAGTAGGTGAGGGCCATGTGCTGGCCACTTCCAGGCGATGGTGCATTTCTTCATTTCTGACGAAGGGTGACACCTCCCCAGCTGCGTTTCTTGCCTGTTTTTCTCCCTTCCTCATCTCAAATATTTTCCCACCACTCTGTACTTAAGAAGGAAGGAAAGAAGGAAAGGAGGAGAGGGAAGGTCTGAGGGAAGTCCTGCCTTAGTCCTGCCCTGCTGCCCTTTCACCATCCCCTTGGACCCTCCTCCTGGCCTATCCTGGAGGTCTCCCATCCTATTGCTAAGGAAGCTTTGGATAGAAAGTTGGGTCTCCTCCCATGGAGAGGGAATGGACCTCCCTCTGATTTTGCCCTCGTACCCATCATGAGCAACCTGGCTAAGGAGAGCAAGCACAGCAGCAGCAGCCTTGAGGAAATAAGTGCAGCTGGGCGCCCCCTTGGGGAAGTGGGGCTGGGCTTGGTGCTGCGGGTGCTCGAGGGCCAGGCTGGGCATTTGACCTCTGCTGTCCAGGGCTCCCAGCAGCCCGCACCACCATCCACACACACCCTGCATGGCCTGAGAGGAACAGTGAGGCTCCTCCAGTGGACCATGCCTTGGCACTTGCCCTGGTCCCACCCTCTTCTGCTAGAGACCCTCAGATCTGTCCCACTCCATCCACGCCCACCCAGTAGGCCGCGCCTACCCTGGCCACACCCACCCAGCCCCCCTGAGGGCAACCGCAATGCTGATGTAGCCCTCAGTGAAATTGAGTTTGACACCCCTGCTTTATGTACAGTAGATGCAGTTCCATTGAGGACTACACATTGAGTGTGGTTGGTTAGCCAGCTACGAATCCAACTGGTGGTAATTCTGTCTAACCCACTTTTTCTATCTTATCAAGTAGTAGGTTGTGGTGTACTTTATCAAATGCCTTATTGAAGTCCAAGTAAATTATATCTACAGCATTCCTCTGGTCCACTAATTTTGTCACTTTGTCAAAGAATGCAGTAAGATTTGCCTGGCATGATTTGTTTATAACAAACCCATGTTGGCTTTTGGTTATGACTTTGTTTGCCTCTAGGTAAACATCTGTATTAACATGGGTAAAAGAATGGATAACTCTTAGAAACAAAAGGTTGTTATATTTGGAGGGACACGATTTACAATTGGGCTGGCACACTTTTTTATAGTATGGGAAAAACAAAATCCATAAGTACTTTCAAAACCACTATATAAGAAATACATTATCATTAACATGGGAAAAAATAAAATGTAAAATATACTTGAAAATTCCAGGATGGCTTTCAACAATGAAAGCATTTGTACATCCAAATTTAGTTAATTTTGAAAATAAATTGGACATATAGAGATATCCTAAATTCTGAAGGGAACTTAAAATCTAAACAAGAAATGGAAAATCTTACAAATGCAAGTTAGATATGCTAAAGATGTTAAACTGTGTAGATTCTATAAGGAGCAAACCTTTTTTGATAAGATATTATTAACCACTGATGAGCAATTAAGAAAATTTATAATTTTCTATTGAATTTGAAAATGGAAAGCGAACAAGTTAAAGAAACTGATAATATGGGGGAAAATGGATATAATAGAGAATTAGAAAATAATGGCAAAACTTGTGGGAAAGAAATTATAAATTGACAATGTCAACTTCTTATAAAGAAAACTTATATAAAATGTTTTATAGATGGCACTTGCCACCAGCAAGTAGCAAAAATGTTTAGATAGATGTTGGAAATGTAAACACAAGTCAGGTACTTATTACCATGTCTGATGGATATGTGACAAAGCAAAGAGTTATTGGAAAAAAATATATAACATGGCTAGAAAAGATTTTGGGAAAACATGTAGATTTTAAACCTGAACTTTTTTATTAGGTATAATGCCAGAAAAGACTGATAAACAAAGCATATATTTGATTTTACATGTAATAACAGCGGCAAGAATTATATTCGCGCAATACTGTAAAAATGAAGAAATACCATCAGATAAGGAAATAATTAAAAAAATACTAGAATGTGCGGAAATGGATAGACTTACTTTGAGATTGAAAAAAGAAGAAGAAACAGAATATGATTAAACTTGGGACTTATTTTATCAGTGGCTTGAGAAAAGAATAAAGGATTACGAATTAAATCTGCATTAGTGAATGTAAAACTCAGACGACACATTTGTTGAACTACTATGGAATGTATGAAAAAATCAATAAAAATCATAAAAAAAAGAAAGTGCTAAGGACAGAGGAAGGAAGGTGTGCTTTTCTCATGAGACCCAGAAAATGCAGGCGCTGCTGTACCCTCTTCACCAGTGTCTCGCTGTTGAGCGACCAAGCCAGCCTACTTGTTAACTGCACACCCAGGAATTTGATGCTGGTAACCAGACTTGAACACTGGGTGCTATCTAACAAAATGAAATTAAATGGTGAAAAAAGTAAAGTTCTACATTTAGGCAAGAAAAACCAAATGTACAGGTATAGTATAGGGGGTACGTTGCTCAATAGTAGCAACTGTGAGAGGGATCTCGGAGTCCTAGTGGACAATCACTTAGATATGAGCCAGCAGTGTGCTGCAACTGCCAAAAAAGCCAACACAGTGCTAGGCTGCATTAACAGAGGGATAGAATCAAGATCATGTAAAGTGTTAATACCACTTTACAATGCCTTGGTAAGGCCACACTTGGAATACTGCATCCAGTTTTGGTCACCACAATGTAAAAAAGATGTTGAGACTCTAGAAAGAGTACAGAGAAGAGCAACCAAGATGATTAGGGGACTGGAGGCTAAAACATACAAAGAACGGTTGCTGGAATTGGGTATGTCTAGTTTAACGAAGAGAAGGACGAGGGGGTGACATGATAGCAGTGTTCCAATATCTCAGGGGCTGCCACAAAGAAGAGGGAGTCAAGTTATTTTCCAAAGCGCCTGAAGGCAGGACAAGAAGCAACGGATGGAAACTAATCAAGGAGAGAAGCAACCTAGAACTAAGGAGAAACTTCCTGACAGTTAGAACAATTAACCAGTGGAACAACCTGCCTCCAGAAGTGGTGAATGCTCCAACACTGGAAGTTTTTAAGAGACTGGACAGCCATTTGTCCGAAATGGTATAGGGTTTCCTGCCTGAGCAGGGGGTTGGACTTGATAACCTCCAAGGTCCCTTCCAACTTTATTATTATTATTATTATTATTATTATTATTATTATTATTATTATTATTATTATTATTATTATCATCATCATCATCATCATCATCATCAATCATCATCATCATCATTATCTCCTTCCTCTCTTGCAGGCACTGCTTCCCGTTCACATTCTCTGCTCCACTTCCGCCATGCTGTGCTCTTTGAGGGGCGGCCCCAATTCGTTGAGGTGACCTACTTGGATAGCCAGCCTATTCAACGTTATGACAGCAGCACAAAAATAATGAGGCCTTTAACACCGTGGATGAACCAAACACTGAATGAAGATTATTGGTTGTGGGAGTCTATTATGGGTAATTTGCTGAAGGACAATTTCCTAGGAGAATTCCAAAACTCTGCTGTTCCACAGAAACATCACAATCAGAGCACGGGTGAGAAGAGAAAACAGCATTATGAATCCCTCCCTCGTTAAATCAAAAGCCCAACTGAGCATCTTGAATCTAAGCATTCATTCGTTCATAGATGATTCAGTTGAAAGTCAAATAGAGGCTCGAGACAGATGCTCAGGGACTGATCCTGTGTGGATCCTCTGTCCCTCCTTTCCTCTTAGCATCTGGAAAGGAAATAAAAGACACATTTTCTCCGTTGACAAATGAGGTCTGCTTCTTTCACCTGGTGGAGATGTTTGTTGTGTGGGTAATAGGTCTGTAGCTTATTAGAAGAAAAGCCATTCTTTCTGGATATTTTTCAAAATTGGGGAAATTATTTAATTAATTTTTAAAAATGGAATGAGATATTGAACTGGTAAAAACAGATTATAAAAAAGTTTCTTACTCTAATTATAACCCTAACCTTATTTTATTCCAACCTATTTAACGCTGTGGATGAACCAAATGCTGGGTGAAGATTACTCGGAGGAGTCATCTACGGATTACCCGGACGAAGATAGCCTAGCAGAATTCCAAAACTCTGCTGTTCCACCGAAACATCACAGTCAGATCACGGGTGAGAAGACAAAGCAGCATTATGAATCCCTCCCTAGCTAAATCAAAGGCCCGACTGAGCAGTTTGAATCTAAGCATTCATTCATTCATAGATGATTCAGTTGAAAGTCAAATAGAGGCTCGAGACAGATGCTCAAGGACTGATCCAGTGTGGATCCTCTACCCCTCCTTTCCTCTTAGCATCTGGAAAGGAAATAAAAGACCCATTTTCTCTGTTGACAAATGAGGCCTGCTCCTTTCACCTGGTGGAGATGTTTGGGTAAAGGTCTGGGTGGGGAAAAAGGCTGATGTCAAATTGACTTCCACTCAGGAGACAATATATTATCTGGACCCCTTCTAGTCAGGATTCAGGCCTGGGCATGGGACTGAAACAGGATTTACCACACTTTTGGATAACCACTGGTAGGCTCATGATAGGGATAGTGCATCCTTCCTGGGTATTCAGTCTCTCTCAGCCTAGCCTGCATTATGGGGGTGAGTTGAGATTAAAATAAATTGTGACAACCATGCATGTTTGTCATCACTTTGTAGGAGGAAAGGTGACCATCTCTTTTGGAAAGAGAAAGACATGAAGTCTATCCTTTATACAAACAAAGTACATATCTCCGTTATATAAATGTATTTGCTTAGCACAGAATATTTTCTGAGTTAAGATTATACTTAGTTATCGGAATTTTTTTTTAAAAAAAATTAAATTCTGAGTGATCCAACTGAAAGATTTGGACTAAAAAAACAAAACTCTTCAAGAACAGCCCTGTGCAGAGCACTTTGCAATAGTTGAGTTATGACAATTTATATTAATGATTTTCAACAATTACTGATCAATTTCTCTTTATGATATATGCACAAATAGCAATATGAATAGAATAGAGCTGGAAGGGACCTTGGAGGTCTTCTAATCCAGCCCCCCATTCAAGCAGGAGAACCTATACCATCTCAGACACATGACTCTCTCTAGCCTCTTCTTAAAAATCTCCAGTGATTATTGGAGAATAATGTGACTCCCTCTTCTTTGTGGCAGCCCCTCAAATACCTGAATACTGCTATCATATCATCCCTATTTCTTCTTTTCTTTAGACTAGCCAAACCCAATTCCTGCAGCTGTTCTTCATATGTTTTAGTCTCCAGGCCTTGGATCATCTTAGTTGCTCTTCTCTGTACTTTTTCCAAAGTCTCAACGTCTTTTTTGTAGTCTGGTGACCAAAATTGGTTGCAGTATTCCAGGTGTGGCCTTACTAAGGTTTTATAAAGTGAGAGTAAATACTTCATATGATTTTGATTCTGTGCCTTTGTTTATTCAACCCAGGATGGTATTAACTTTTTTGGCTGCTGCCGCACACTGCTGGCTCATAGTCAAGTGATCCTCCACCAGGACTCCAAGGTCCCTCTTGCAGTTACTGTTTTAAAGCCAGGTTTTGGCCATAGCTTTGATTTTTCCTGCCTAAATGTAAAACTTTGCTTTTTTCCACATTGAAACTCATTTTGTTGGATAGGGCCCATTGTTCAAGTTTGTCAAGATCTTTTTGGATCCTGAGTTTGTCTTCTGGGAGTGTTGGATACTCCTGCCAGTTTAGTGTCATGTGCAAATTTGATGAGTTCCCCTTCAATTCCCTCATCAAAGTCATTTATGAAAATGACATTATCATTTATAATTTCTTCTTCATTTTGCACTTGGAAAGAGATAAGATAAGGTATTCAACTGGTAAACTATGAGCATCCTAGATCAAGCCAAAGTAGGAAAGTGCTAGAGAATTCCTGGAAGCCTGGCACTCCGACAATTAGACCATAAACAGGCACATAGAGATAAACAATATTTACATACCACTTAAAAGAGACAATCAAAAAACCCAAAAGGAAATAAAAAGACCGAAACACTTTCTCACCAGGAATCAACACTCATATAAGTAGAGATTAACAACAAGATTAAGTAGACCAATAATCAAGGAAATACCCCAACCAAGCAATTACCAAGGCAGACCAAAAGCTAACAGTAATCAAAGAACCACTAAAAACAGTCCCATCAACGCTGACAGGGCAAGTCACCAGTACATAAAAATAAGAAACCCAACTCCCTTCTAGCATTGATGATGTTATCTAGTTTGGTAATGAAATGTCTATAAGAAACCCACCAAGTTCAGAGCATAAAAGACCCCCCCAACAAAGTTTTCCTATCTTTCCCTAGATACAGGTAGTTCTTGACTTACAACCACAACTGAGCCCAAAATTTCTGATGCTGACATTTATTAAATGAATTTTGCCCCCATTTTACAACCTTTGTTGCCACAGTTGTTAAGTGAAGCACTGCAGTTGAGAATCATGGTTGTTAAGTAAATGTGGTTTCCCCATTGATTTTGCTTGTTAGAAGGCCACAAAAGGTGATTACATGACCCCCCAGGATGCTGCAACCATCATAAATATGAGTCTGATTTTTGATCACATGATGATGGAGATGCTGCAAGGGTCGTGAGTATGAAAAATGGTCATAAATCACTTTTTTAGTGCCAGTGTAACTTCAAACAATCCCTAAATGAAGTGACCATTGGAAGTGGAGGTCTACCTGTATTTTTCAGATTTCCAATTCCTTACATAAGACATTCCTTCAGTATCTCATATGTAAAATCTAGGAATTTTATGTTTTCTATAAGCTAGACAGGTTTTGATATTCCACTTTTGCTAGCATAAATATGATTTTCCACATGTAAAGGAGGTAATGTTCTGGTACCACAATTAGAAGAAAAAGGTGTTGTTTCTTTTGTTTATGCTTCAATTTTTAAAAAATGTTTCCCTGATCATCTTGATCATCAGTTTAGTAAAACACTAAGATATCAATGGCAGAGATGAGGTGCAGGAACTTGGTGTTTGTGTCACTAAGCTGGTGCACATCTGTCTTTTTCTCAGATCACACCTTGCAGTGCATCCAGGGCTGTGAGCTCACAGCTGATGGAAAGGAAATAGAAATTCATCGGGATGCTGTTGATGGAAAAGAGATGAAGGGAGATGAAATTCACATAAGATATTACATGGTTGGAAACTGCATTCTGTGGCTGAAGAGGTACCTGAACATGAAGCCACAAAGGAAAGGTAGGCCTGGCTGGAGATAAAGAACAACCTTTCCATATTCTTCCCATTTTTAATTTTCTCCTTAAACTATTATTGGAAGTTAAAGCGTCTTATTCCAAACTGGGAGAGAAATGCAAGCAAAGGAAAAATAAGTTTGAGGCAGACTGCAGTTGGAAAGGTTTCTGTTTATTGGCCCAGCAACAACAGTGACAACAGCATGCGTTCCTGGGGGCAGCTGGTAAATTGGGGTTGTGAGTTAGTGAGTTTTTATGTTTCTGGGGCTCTGTATCTGTGTAGAAATGTGTCCTTTAATATTTTAATTATTGTTGTGAGATTTCTATTGTGGTTTATAAAATCATGACTGGCCCTAAAGGCAAAAGGGGAAATGCAAATCCTAGATGTTTTGAATTCCTGATCTAATCTTGTCAATTTCAGCTTCTGATCTATTCTGCTGTATATTTGGAGGTCCCTTTAGCCAAGTGTGGTTTTAGAATGTGTACCTTGCTTTATGAATGAAACTTAGTTTCCTTAAGCCTTGCCTGCAGGCTGTTTTAATGGAGGAAAGACTGGGTCTGCTTTCTGCCTTTGTTAAGAAGATTTTTCTCCTCCTTTAGGGAAAATATTCATTTCTTATTCTGTAGAATATTTTATTTTGGGGAGGGGGCTCTTCCTACACTATCAATGATAGGCTTTGAAGTCAAACAAGATATTATGGTGGTTGTAAACACCACCGATTTTTCCCCCCTGTTTTTGTTCCAAGTAGCTAGCAAAAAATGTTTTGGATCTAAATCTTTCTTCCCCCTAGAAAACATTCTACTTGCAGAAATAATTTCTTATACATCAAGAATGTTTAAAAATGCCAATCCAGTGGGAAGTGGTACTCCCCTCTAGCATCTCTCCACTATATCACCCCATTTGCAGAAATATCAACAAAGCAATTAATGTTGTCACGGGCTAAATTTTTACTAGACTGAATTTTCCTAAATAAAGACAAACATATTTATTAAATGTACTAGCTGTACCCAGCCACGCGTTGCTGTGGCTCAGTCTGGTAAAAGCGTGTGTTGCTTTTACGTCCAATAGATGGTGCTGTTTTTCAAAAAAGCATGTTTTTATCTGTCACAGGTGTGACATCTATATAATATAGGTATATAAAAACACGTGCGTATTCGAATGCAACGTTGTGTCAAAATTTCAAAGCAATCGGTGAAGAACTTTTGGAGATTTAAGATTTTGAACAAACGAACATTTACATTTTTATTTATATAGATTTGCTGCTCATGTCCCTGTTCGGGGACTCCGGTTGGCTTACAACATTTTAAAAGCACAATATAAAACAATAAAAGCATAAATATGGATCTGATGGTATTAGGCAAAGAGAGGAACTGGGTTTGGCCATGTCTCAAAAAAAAAAAAAAAAAAAAAACCCATGGAGGGAAAGGTGAGAAACAAAATAGTTGTTTTAACTCTTGAAATGTTGCTTGCTCTCTTTTCTGGGACTTGGCTTCAAATTGATAGTTTAATCGCATGCTTGATGTGTATGTGAGTGTGTGGGGTGGTTATCACAGCTGCCTCTTTCTCCCCATTTGCAGAATCTGCCTATTTTTTTGGGTAGTGTCAATTCTCTCTTGATTGGCATTTATTTATTTAGAAAATTTATATGGCTGCCCAGTCAGTGACTCTGGGCAGCTTACAATGATAAAACCCCAATATAGAAACCAATACCTCCCCCCACCATTGGGTAGGGAGGGGGTAAGCTTTTACTGCTTGTAAATATTGCTCCTGGCATTTAGGGGAAGGGAATCAGAGTGTTCCTTGTGCCCAACTTACTTCTGGATTGTGCAGCTGAAGACATTCTATCCTTGCAAGGTGGCAATTACATAGTGTTATGAACTCTAGAATACAGAATAACAACGTTGGACAGGACCTCTTCCAGTATAGAATAGAATAACAGATTGGAAAGGACCTTGGAGGTCTTTTAGTCCAACCCTCTGCTCAGGCAGAAAACCCTACACCATTTCAGACAAATGGCTGCCCAGTTTCTTCTTAAAAACTTCCAGTGTTGGAGCATTCACCGCTTCTGGAGGCAGGTTGTTCCTCTGGTTAATTGTTCTAACTGTCAGGAAATTTCTCCTTAGTTCCAGGTTGCTTCTCTCCTTGATCAGTTTCCATCCCTTGCTTCTTGTCCTGCCCTCTGGTGTTTTGGAGAATAGCTTGACTCCCTCTTCTTTGTGGCAACCCCTGAGATATTGGAACACTGCTATCATGTCACCCAGTCCTTCTCTTCATTAAACTAGACATACCCAATTCCAGCAACTGTCCTTTATATGTTTTAGCCTCCAGTCCCCTAATCATCTTTTTTGCTCTGTATGATCCTTAAGTGTCAACTAGAAAGGAGCTGTGCACTGTAAAATCAGCCCTGTTCTTAGTGGCTTTCCGTCAATTATCTTGCCTATCATTGGTCATCCCAGAGCTTGAATAGACAATTCAACTAAAGTAACAATAACAGAAGTAATTGAGTATGCTTGCCTGTTGTTGGAGGGGAGGTGGGTCAGCAAAATTTCCTAGGACTGCTCTCTGTTCATTTACAAATTTTGCATCTTGTCACTGTATCAGATGCTTGTGCTTTTACCAGGCATGATCTGGCTATGTGTCCAGGGGGCTTTCGGGAAAGTATAATCCCCAATCCCTTCTTCTTTGCTTCTCTCCTGATGACAGGTGTCTTTGCTTGCTCAGGTTTTCAAGAAGGCCATTGGGAGGGAGGGTTATATAGGCTGTAAGTTTGTTTCCCCTTATCATACTTTCCCTGCCTCAAGTCTCCCAGTAGGCTCTATTATCACTCAATGTTAACACAACTCTTCCAGAGTATTTGGGGTATCTTGCCTAACCAGCTCTTCTCAACTAGTCAATCAGGGCTAAGTCATTCCACCTTACTGTCAACGCTGCTAATATTGAATATTCTTGCTTTGACAATATATGCAGAACTGTCTGGTATTTTTAGGGTTAGGTGACAGGGAAAGGGGAGGAGAAAATAAGGAAAGCCTGGGAAAAAGAAACGGAAGTGAATCTTTGCCCTCCAAGTTAATTGGAAGATGTGAATCATGACCCCAAAATAGGGGAGGGGAAATGCCTGGAATGTTATGTGCAAAGGAAGGGAAATTCAGATCTTAGCATCCACCATGCTGTGCTGACACTCTGTAATACGAATAAAGGCTTTTTAGGTTAAAAAAATGCCTGAAAGTTCTTTGAAGTGTTTCGTTAATCAGACACATGACACTTACATCACCAGTAGGTAATTTAATGTCCAGAATATATAACCTTATTCTTCTCTTTTTCCCTGCTTCTGCTTTCAGATCTTTTGACTTGCAGCAATTCTTTATATGGGATCTCAAACTGTCCTTTGAATTTATGCATTAACTCCTCATAGTTGCCCAATATCACATCCCCTCAATGATCCGTATTGTCCACCTAGTTGTTTTCTTCCTTCAGCAAACTCAGCACATAAGTTGCTTTGGTGTGATTAATGAGAAACTCAAGCACTTTGCTGGCCTAAACATTTCACACAGAGTTGCGAATGTCCAGAATTGATCCTCGTCCCCTCTGAACTTCTTCGACAATCTTCCATGGGAATGCAGGAGTCCTGGTGGTCTGCAAATTGTGCTGCTTCAGGGTGGAGCAAATTCTGCCTCAGCTGTTGCATGAATTGTATCATGGCATTCTGCAAGTTGGTCATCTGTGCATCCACCTGCTACTGGTGTTGCAACAACACTGTGCCAGATGTTTGGTGGATACCAGAGTTCCTTGAGAATCAGAGGTCATTCCTGAAATCCCTCTTTTACAAGATTGCTGTTGGTGTTGTAGGATAAACCAACTAGGAATTATGATCAGATAAGCTAATTGTATTGTAAGGCTAATAGCCAGATTCTTGAAAGTCTGAAAGTACAATTCTCTTCCTGACCCCATACACTTTGCATCAAGACACTGTCCGCTGGCTCCTTCATCCTGCTTCATCCAGCTACCCCCAAATCACCCAGTCTTGTTTTAGTATGATCTTTATCTGGAGCTCTCCCCTTTGCAGAATATTGCACTGGAATAACAGAATAACAAAAGGGACCTTGGGGGTCTTCTAATTCAGGGGTCCCCAAACCCCGTGGCATGCCAGAAACCAGTCCATGTAAAAAAGTGAAGCCGCATCTGAGGGATGCAGGCAGCACACAAAACCATGCCCCCAACCGGTCTGCGGAAAAACCTCTCTCCACAGAACTGGTCCCTGGTGCCCAAAATGTTGGGGGCTGCTGTTCTAGTCCAACCCCTGCAAGTAGTCCTTGACTTATGACCACAACTGAAGCAGAATTTCTGTTGTTAAGCGAGACAGTTAAGAGAGTAACACCCAATTTTATGATCTTTTCTGCCATGGTTGTTAAACAGGTTTAGGGAGATATAGGATCTCAAGCAGGAGATCCTTTATTATTTCAAACAAATGCCTGTCCAATCTTAAAAATCTCCAGTGTAAATGGTCCTCTAAGAAACTTTCCACCATTTGTGTTTAAGATTCTTGTATCAGTGAGAGAAGGACTATCCTTTCACGCAGGCCATTATTGCTATTTTGCAGAGCTTCCAATAGTGAAAGTGACTCATCAGGAGGTCAGCATCAACAACCTTCAAGCCCTCACCTGCCAGGCCTATGGCTTCTATCCCAGCGAGATCAGTGTCAGTTGGAGGAAGGATGGGGAAATCTTCAACCAAACCAACAGTGCTGCACACATTGCCCCAAATTCAGATGGGACCTTTTACGCCAGGCTGAGTATTCAGATCAATCCCAACAAGAGGAAACTCTACAGATGCCATGTGGAACATGTCAGCTCCAGCGAGCCCCTGGATTTTGTCTTGCAGGAAACAGGTGAGAAATTACAATAGAGTAAAGGTCTGGGTTCCAGTTAAAAAGGCACAGTAGGTATAGAATATGTATGAACGTTCTCCTGTATTAGAAGTTCCTGCCATCCCAAATCTGCTCCATCTTCTCCTCCTTTTGCTTCAATACCTCCTCCTATTCATATGCCTGTAGGCAGAGGTGGGATTCAGCCGGTTCGCACTGGTTTGGCAGAACCGATAGCTAAATTTTGCTGCATTCGGAGAACCAGTTGGCTTCCAGAAGTCCAGTCTAGGCCTCGGAGGCCTGGGGGAGGCTTCCCAGGCCTAGAACAGCCCGCCGGAAGTGCGTGGATGCCACTTCCAGAAGTCCATTCTAGGCCTCAGAGGCCTGGAGGCCTCCCAGGCCTAGAACGGCCCACTAGTTCGTGGATGCAACTTCCGGAAGGCCGTTCTAGGCTTGGAGGCCCAGGCCTGCATCGAATAAGAGAACTGGTTGTTCAGGTATTTGAATTCCACCGGTGCCTATAGGGGTGGGGAACGATTTTCTCAGGCACTACAAAGATCCTAGTCCATCATCCCTACTCCGTGATTTTTGTGATTGCAGGCAGTCCTTGACTTATGACCACATCTGAAACCAGAATTTCTGTTGTTAAGCGAGACGGTTAAGTGAGTGATGCCCAATTTTATGATCTTTCTTGCCATGGTTTTTAAGAAAATCACTTCAGTTGTTAACTGAATCGCATGGTAGTTAAATGAATCTGGCTTCCCCACTTGGCTTTGTAGGAAAAGGGAAGGTCGCAAATGGCAGTCACATGACCCCAGGATATTACTGCAACCATCACAAATACATGCTGGTTATCAAGTGCCCAAATTTTGATCACATGAGTATAGAGATGCTGCAGCAGTCATAAATGCAAGGACTGGTCATAAGTCCCTTTTTCAGTGCCACTGTAATTTTGAATAGTCACTAAATGAATGATTGTAAGTAAATCTGCACATGAATTATTATAGTCAAAGGACTTTACTGTTCCAAATGGCTCATGGCCCAGTAGTGGGCTGCGGCCCTGGGGTTGGGGACCCCTGATCTAGGCTTTCCAAGAGGTCACTAATTCTGGGCATTGGATACCCATTGAATATTGCCAGTTTATTTAGAATAGAGTAGAGCTGGAAGGGATCTTGGAGGTCTTTTAGTCCAGCCCCCTGCTCAAGCAGGAGAATCTATACCAGGAGTAGGCAACCTTGGCTCTTTTATGACTCATGGACTTCAACTCCCAGAATTCCTGAGCATTTGCCTACCCCTGATCTATACCATCTCAGACAAGCGGCTGTCTAGTCTCTTCTTAAAAACCTCCAGTGATGGAGCACCCATGATTTCTGGAGGCAAGCTGTACCACTGGTTAACTGTCCTCACTGTTAGGAAGTTTCTCCTTAATTCTAGGTTGATTCTCTCTTTGGTCAGTTTCCAACCATTGTTTCTTGTCCTTCCCTCAGGTGCTTTGGAGAATTTGACCCCCTCTTCTTTGTGGCAGCCCCTCAAATACTGGAATACTGCTATCATATCTCCCCTATTTCTTCTTTTCTTTAGACTAGCTAAACCCAAGTCCCGCAGCCATTCTTCATATGTTTTAGTCTCTAGGCCTTGGATCATCTTAGGTGTTCTTCTCTGAATTTTTTCCAAACTCTCAACATCTTTTTTGTGACATGGTGACCAAAATTGGCTGCAGTATTCCAGGTGTGGTCTTACTTATAAAGCGGTATTAATACTTCGCGGGAAATATGTGCTTTAGTCTACAGAAAATTGTATTTCTCTAAAGGACTTCTCTTTGGATTTTTTTACATGTCAAGTATTTAGTCAATGTGGGATATAGACAATCCAGTATAGGAGCAGATATGTACTTTGTCCTGCATTGTCAACCATAGGAATGACTATGTCTTCTGATGCTTCTATTTCTGCAGGCCCTTCAGCTAAAGTAACTACTCACGTGCTGAATGTTAATGATACCCGCTTGAACTGCTCTGTCTGCAACTTTTATCCTGAAGACATAGAAGCCACCTGGAAGAAGGATGGAGAGTTTCGGGATCACGAGAATTATCGTGGGGATACCATCCGCAATTGGGACGGGACCTACTGCACCTGGATCAGTATTGAAATTAACCCCATGGAGGAGGACCGCTACTGTTGCTATGTTGGACATGATGGCTTGCAGGAACCACTCTGTGTAAAAGGTGACAAACTGCAGGGAAGGGGAGAACTCTGGGTGATGAATTTCTGCCTGGCAGTTCCCATAGGTGACCCTACCTTGGTTTTATTCTATTAAAATACTCTCTCTCCTTTTTTTTTTTTAGTTTGTGGACTTGCAATGAAGAGTCTGTACAATTTGCCTGGAGTTATTTAAAGGTGGCTGAAAAATTCCATCACACTAACCTAGGCTAATTGTGATGAGATGTACTTGAACCTCTAATGTTCTCTTCCCAATTTACTGCCACTACTGTGGCATTAGATATGGTTTTACTATCTCCTACGCATTTTTTCCAAGCATGTTCACATTATAGATTGTCATTGTTTTAGTATTACAATTGGGCATGGAGACAGTTATAAGATGGGGTAGTCATTAGAAAAGTTCCCACATGATTTGACTTGGTTTTATGTCCATTTTTATGATAGTCATAAAGCAAATTAAGTGAACCACATGGTTTTTAAGTGAATATGTAGTCATTATGTTAATCCAGTATATCCAATAGGTGGGGTTTTTTTTGCCATTTTCCTGCCAGAAATGCATTATTTCATATTTTAGTTAATAGAAAAAAACAGTCTTTTCCAAATGGAGAAATTGCATATTTCTTCAATCCAATTTTCAATATACTTTTCCAGTATACCTATATTGGGAAGAATAACCATTATTCCTGCAAACGAATAAGGTTCCACAATTTTGGAATATAATTCAAAATAACATTGACATTTTAAAGACTGACATTTTAAAGTATTCTTCTGCAAAGAACTGAAATCTGGACAAGAAAAGTCACATGAGTCAATGTATCTTCAAATTTCTTGCACGTCCAAAAGTGAGAATCTACAGGCTATCCTTTCTGATTCATTCTTTAACCACTCCAATAAAAAATTTTGATAGATAATTTCAACTTTAAGTCTAAGGAAACAACATTCAAATGTTAAAAATAGCCTTTAAAACAAAGATTGATCCCCCGTCATCTGATATTCCAACTCATTACTCCATAACTCATTAACATTTCAACTTTATAGTTGAATTCAATTATTCAAATTCAATAATTTCAACTTCATAGTTATTTTTCCATTTCTTTTTTTTCAATATAAAATTTTTATTATTTTTTCATCATAAAAAAGAAAATTTTTTTTCACAAACACTACACAATACTATATAAAAAACCCCCCACCCCCCCGGACTTCCCAAACCTGATCCCAGGATAATATTCAAATATAAGTAAACAAGTATTAGTATCTCTAGCTCCGCAAAGTATACAATTGTTATTTTTCCATTTCTGACATAATCTCAGTCAATTTGATTTAGGAAACAGACTCAGTTAACAATGATAGTATCTCAGTCTTCTTTGAGGCAACTAAGGAGTCTGGTCCATGCTGAAAAATCAAAACATACTTGAGTTGATTATATTGCGATTTGGACATATATCACAAAGAGAAATTTATCTGTGATACTTGAAAATCATTAATATAAATTGCCATAACTCAACTACTGCAAAGTGCTCTACACAGGGCTGTTCTTGAAGACCACTTGGAACCTTTTGCTGGTCTAGAATCCAATCAGAATAGAAATGGAAGGGACCTTGGAGGACTTCTTGTCCAGCCCCCTGCTCAAACAAGAGATCCTATATACCATTTCAGACAAGTGACTGCCCAGTCTCTTGTTAAAGATGTCCAGTGATGAAGCACCCACAACTTCTGAAGACAAGCTGTTCCACTGGTTAATTGTCCTCACTGTTAGGAAATTTCTCCTTAATTCCAGGTTGTTTCTCTCCTTGATTAGTTTCCACCCATTGTTTCTTGTCTTGCCTTCCAGTGCTTTGGAAAATAAGTTGACCCCCTCCTTTTTGTGGCAGCCTCTCAAATATTGAAATACTGCAATCATGTCCAACATGATATCCAGCAGTGCAGTGAGACTCCTGATTAGTGATCTACACTGGTTGCCAGTTTACTTGGGGTGGGGTGGGGGAGTGATTCACGATGCTGGTTATGACCTATAGAGCCCTACATGGCATAGGCCCCAGTTTCTTGAGGGGCTGCCTATCTCCCATGCTGTTTGTCCAGCCAAATGAAGCCGAGAGGGCTGCTTTAATCTTCTCCATAGACAAATACTACTTTGGTTTCCTTTTAATTACTTCGCTCTTTTTCCCAATTCAGCTTTAAAATTAGAAATCCCAAATGAGGAAAATCTAATATTCATCCTTTACTATACCATGCCAGTCCTTGGCATCCTGATCCTTGGAATCATTGGAATTTTGTACTACAGTAAGTACCATGTAAAATATCTTTGCTGTTGTGGGTATTAAGATGTGAAAGCCATTTTCCTTCCAAGTGTCCCTTTTGGGCACTTCTGTGCATCTTTCTTCCACATTTCCTCGGCTCTCCTCAGGAGTTTCTGAACTCTTAGCTTCTTGCTAAGGACTTGGTTTAGCTGAAGGTTAGGGCAATTCCAGTTCTTTTCTGCAACTGGGAAGAGGTATTGCAATTCTACCTTTCAATGGTTTGGGGCCAAAAAAGCAGCAGAAAAATATTTCAATAAAATATATTTTTTTATCCAGCTGATTGTACCAATTGTACTCAGTCCATTGCAGAGGCAGTAGGTTTCCCATGGAGCAAAGGAGATACATTTATCTTTTGAAAAGCTTCCTATTTCTGCTTAATAGCAATAGCAATAGCACTTAGAGTTATATACCGCTTCACAGTGCTTTACAACCCTCTCTAAGCGGTTTATAGAGTCAGCCTATTGCCCCCAACAATCATTTTACCCACCTTGGAAGGCTTGGAAGACTGAGTCAACCCTGAGCCGGTCAGAATCGAATTCCTGGCATGAGCAGTGAGTTAGCATGCAGTACTCTATTCTAACCACTGCATCACCACAGCTCTTATAAAGATAGTTTATAAGATAGTTTAACTATCTTAAGATATTCTTGGGTAAGCCATGACAAAGCAACTGTAGCAAAGTATCCTGGGGCTTTTTCTGGCATAAAGGAAGAGATTAAATGGTCTCTGGTGGATTCTTTTTAGTTTTAACTCTCCAATATTTGTTGTTGCAGAGAAGTGTCGACGACGTGACTACAGACCAGCCGCAAGTGAGTCATCTCTTTGCCTGTCTGCATGATAGTCAGAAGCAAAAAAAGGGACAGGAGGGCTCATACCAACAACATTTAAAAAAAAAAAACATGCCATAGAGATGTTTCTATGTCATCAGTAGAAGCCTGGGAGGAATTATAGCACTTGGATGCAGTGGAGAAATATTTATTTATTTATTTATTTATTTTCTTAAATTTATATGCCGCCCTTCTCCCCATGGGACTCAGGGCGGCTCACAGCATATTAAAACATTGTACAAAAAGAAATTTTCCCCTGCTAAAAACCAATTAAAATCCAAATATTAGTAGCTGTGGCTCTTTAAAATTGTTTAAAAATTGTCCCTATTTAAAACTCACCT